GACAGGATGAAGTGCCATGCCTGGTGACCAGCATCCAGTCGCTCTCGACAGCTCCTGAGCGCCAACTGCACCACCGGCGAGCAGCACCTGGAGATGACCATGAAGGTGAGCAAGTGAGCCGCACGAAACTCCCCACGCAGCTCGATATCATTCACGGGCAGAATTGGCACGGTGCCGTCGGCGAAGCCCTTCAGCCTGGTGCTCTCCAGCTGAGGTTCGATCGACTCCCTCCAGGTGATGAGGTCTCGTCGACCATGCAGCGGTGCGACGGTGATCCGGTCCGGCGAGAACTTGAAGTAGCCATACGCCGGTGCAATCCTGCCCGCTGTCACGTGCGTCGTCGCTGGGAGCCCTCCGCCGCTTTGTAGAGGAGAGCGACGTCGACCATCGACATCGGCACACGAGCTGCCTGCAGCCGCCGTTGACCGCTGCACTCGCGCCTGAATCCTGTCGACACCACCGTCGACCTTGATCACCCCTCTCTGCCTCGTGCCTTCAGTGCCGCTGACTCGTGCACCACCGTCGACCTCGTCGTCGACGCCACCTTCGTTGCGCACCGATCGAGGAGATGCAGGACGAGAAGGGTGTTCCGTCACCCACTGCGACTGGATGCCCAACTCGACGATCGCCCAAGGGATCGTCCCGTACTCGCCATCCGCGTGACGTTCGCATCAGCGTGCCTCCAAGGTGTCCGCTACTCCCGCATCAGCTACGGGGTCAACCATGGTGACTATCGCTGCTGCCGGCCTACGAATGACTTAGTAGGTGCAAAAGTCGGCTCCTAAATGAAGGTCGCGTGTTTGATCCATGCTTACCGCACCATGCAAAGAGACACTCGACAAAGGTAGTGCACTAGATTACGGGGGCTGGCATGAACTACTGAGAGTGATCGTAAATTTGCCTAGATCCTTTGTGCTTGCACAATCACGGGAGAAATCGGCAAGAGTTTCACTAGCAAATTTGGAATTACAGAATAAGTTGAACAAGCAATGACAGCAATGACTACATCAGGCACCTAGCATCCCTGCAGCTAGCCTGGTCAACCACTAGCACAGTTCGGTCGACCGCCTGCCAGCGTTGCGTAGAGGAGTCGCGCCAGCACTGCAGAAGGGCGACCTGCCAACAGAGCGGGTCGACGGCGTGCCAACGCTGCAGCAGAGTGGCTGTTCAGCGTTGCCCGGTAGAACACAGCAGACGATTGGCCCGATTTGCCTCGTTAGGCATCTGTCGGCTGTTGTCTGCGCTTGACTAGCCACATCGACTTTGGGATACCAGGTTAACATTCGCCATCGCGCCTTCGACGACGTCCGCGTGCCTCCGCATAACTCGTCGAACAGGTTACCCGGTCGACCTGGGCACCACGAGGTGCTCTGGTCGACGACCAGTGCCTCCGGTCGACCACCGAGTGCCTCTGGTCGACCACCAGGTGCCTCTTGTCGACCACAGGGTCCCTTTGGTCGACCACCAGGTGCCCCTGGTCGACCACAGCTCCTGTCAAGCTACCCCTTGGTCGACGGACCCCTTCCGTTGACCGGAACTGTCAGCGGTTGTCGCCGAGCTCCCCTCATCGACCGCTGCTCACTTGACAGGTCGACGGACTGCTCCGACGACCTCCTGGTTGAGCTGCAGATTGACGGACTGCCCCGTCGACCTCCCGGTCGAGCTGCAGGTTGACGGACTGCCCCGTCGACCTCCCGGTCGAGCTGCAGGTCGACGGACTGCTCCGTCGACCTCCCGGTCGAACTGCCCCACCTGGTCAACAGCCCACCCGTCGCCCAGACCCGTCAGTTGTAGCTGTCGAGCTCCTTGGTCGATAGCAACACCACAGCGGTCCCCTGCAGCTCGACGAATCCTGTCGAGCAGCTCTCCCACTGTGAACGGTCGGCTGCTACTCTCGTACATCCGACCAAGATGTCGGTGTTGCCCAAGCGAGGGCGGGGCCAACAATCCACTCCCGTCAACAGTTACTCATACCGCCGACACGATCCAACTCTTCGCCGCGAAATAAGTCCAGACCCTCGCTAAGAAGTTCGGCATCGCTCCCCTCGGCATTACCACCCTGTTTCGCACTCCTCCGCCCAACCACGAGCCCGACACCACCCCACTCTCCCCGGCCGACCACCGTCTCTACCAGCATCAGCTCGGGTGTCTACTGTTCGCGGCTGTCACATGCCGCCCGGACCTATCCTACATCGCCATCCAGCTTGCCTAGTATCTGCGCCGACCTGAAGGGGAAAACATGGCAGACCTGCTACGCGCCTTACATTACTTCGTCTCTACGCCCGATGTCGGCCTCACCTAGAAGGCGAATCTAACGGCTACTCTACAGCTTACCGGCTACGTAGATGCTGACCATGCTGGGGATGCAGACAACAGGAGGTCCCGCACATGCTTCATTTTCAAGCTTGAGCCAGCTAGAACCATCTTCTGGATCTCACAGAAGCAGGAGCTCATCGCCCTTTCGTCAGCAGAAGCAGAATCCATCGCAGCAAGTGCAGTAGTCTGCGAAGGTCTCTACCTCACGGAGCTCCTGCAGGAAACGAAGATGGCGATGAACGGGTCCTTCAAGTTACTCTGCGACAACCAAAGTGCGATCAAGATCGCAAACAAGCCGGGGGTCGTCAACCGCACAAAACACATCGCCTTGCGTTACTTCTTCGTGAAGGACGAAATCGACAAGGGGAAGGTCTAGCTCATCTACTGCCCAACTGGCGAGATGGCAGCTGATTTTCTGACGAAGAATCTGCCTCGTCAGAAGTTGAGTACTGCTCGGACCTGTGCGGAGTCGTTCGAAAGAGCCACGTGGCGCACCTCGAGGAATGTAGGGGAGTGTTGGAGTATGAAGGGAATTGAGTTTAGCATTCCCGTAGGTGCAGCTGTATCGCACCCGTCATTATTGAACATTGCTAGCATCAGTATCGGATCAGCCCGTATCAAGGGCAGGAAGGTCAACAGTCGCAAGAATCAACTGTCCCGACTGTTGACCATCTAAACTGACAATTGCCGCACCATCGAGAAATGGCAACAGGCGTAACCATCTCCACGGTTACATGCAGCGACTCGGTAACAAGAAGAAGTGCAATAGTCAGAGTCACTGTAGAGTTGCCTGTAAACCAGTTATAATAAGGGAATGTAGCCCTCAGAATATATGGCCCTCAGTGTACATTCCCTTCCCTTCATCATTTCTCCACAAGCACCAGTCGACCTCCTTTGCTCTTTTTTCCTTCATCATTGTGCCTTTTTATCCTGTCAACACCGATGCTCGCTCAAGAACCCAATCAAATCCAAATCAAATCCCAATTCCAACCCCCTCCTTTGCCTTCCCCAAACACCCGGCCTTTCCAACCCCCTCCTCTCCCCCCCTCCTTCCCCAATTTTCATTTCCGGACCCTTCCCCCTCCTGCTCCCTGTTGTAACCAGTGGACCTCCCTTGCTCCATTTCCTTATGGGAGAAACCTGTGCCTCTCAGCCGTACGATCTCCGTGATCAACGGCGCACATGCCGCCTGGAAAGACGCCCATGGGTATGCTTTCATGCCACCTCAGCAGCAGCAGCAGCAGCAGCAGCAGCAGCAGCAGCAGCAGCAGCAGCAGCAGTCAGCTGACCAAAACCAGCAAGATGAAATGCTTCTAAGCCAGCTGCGGGAATCGGTGGACTGCACACGTGGCGGCTCTGTGGAGTGCCACGTGGCAGGCAGCAGTGTGGTCTGCGTCCCACTTTCCGAGCCACGCGGGGCACAAGAGATTGTTAGAAAAGCGTCTGGGACATTGATGCCTGGCGCTGCTGCTGCTGCATTGGCTGCTGCTGGTTTGAGTGAGGAGGGAGGAGTAGGAGGAGGAGGAGGAGGAGGAGGAGGAGGAGGAGGAGGAGGAGGAGGAGGAGGAGGAGGAGGAGGAGGAGGGAAGAAGGGAGGAGGAGGGAAGAAGGGAGGAGAAGGGAAGAAGGGAAAAGCTAAGGGAAGCAAACCATCTCGTGTTGATCACACTCGATCCTCATCCTCCCCTGTATGGCTAGAGACGGCGTTTGATGGGTCAGGATCGCCACAAAATGGTACCGAATCTGCTTGTAACGGATTGGATCGTTCCGGAAGGTACGGATCGCCACAACCGAGTAAATCCAGATTCAAAAGTGGTTTGGGCCTGATAAGTAAAACACTTAGAGGAAAGGAAGAGGAGGGAGAGGAGGATGTGGGAGGAGAAGAGATGAGGAAGGGGAAGGGAAAGGTGCTTGTTTCAGATAGTTCTGGGGTGAGAAAAGGCAAGTTTCCTTTCAAAATCCGTAGCAGCGGCAGCGCAGAGAAGGAGGAGGGGAAAGGGGAAAAGAAGGAGGGGAAGGGAGAAAGGAAGAAGGAGGGGAGGGTAGGGAGTACGAGGAAGGAGAGGAGGAAGGATGAAGCTGGGGAGGAGAATGGGGAGGACGGGCAAGGTGGGAGGAGTGGAAGGAGAGAGGGAGACGAAAAGGTGACGAGACGGAAAAAAATTGTCAAGAGTAAATCCAATGTTGAGGAGAAGGTACAGAAGGATGAAGTTGGGGAGGAGAAGGGGGAGGAGGGGCAAGGTGGGAGCACAGAGGGTGACGACAAGGTGAGGAGACGAAAGAAAATTGTCAAGAGTAAATCCAATGTTGAGGAGAAGGTACAGAAGGATGAAGTTGGGGAGGAGAAGGGGGAGGAGGGGCAAGGTGGGAGCACAGAGGGTGACGACAAGGTGAGGAGACGAAAGAAAATTGTCAAGAGTAAATCCAATGTAGAGGAGAAGGTAAAGAAAGGGATGTTAAAGAAGCTGTTAAAGAAGGGGACAAAGTGGACTGGCAAATCCGTTGCTGATGGTGATGGTGATGGTGATGGTCATGGTGATGGTGATGGTGATGATAAAGTTGACAATGGCGAGTATGAGGAGTATAGAGAAGAGAAATTTACGGAAGAGAGAGTAAGAGAGGAGGGAGTGAGCGAGGAGAGAGAGAACGAGGAGAGAGTGAGAGAGGAGAACAATGAGAGGATTATGAATCAGCTAGGTGCAAAGGGCAATGGCAGAAGCAGCAGCAGCAGCAGCAGCAGCAGCAGCAGCAGCAGCAGCAGAAGCAGCAACGGCCAGGTCTTGCAGCAATCGCCTCTCATCTCGAAACGCTCACTTCCCAAGAGAATTACCACCTTCCCTACCTCTTCCTCAGTTAACGTCTCCTGCTTCCCTCCCCTCTCCTCCCCCTTCTCCTCTCCCTTCTCCTCCCCCTTCACCTCCCTTTTTGCCTCCCCTCGCGCCTCCCCTCCCGGCTCCCCTCGCCCCTACGCTCTCCACCGTTCCCCTCGCTTTCGACAAAAACACCCCTTCCCTCCATCCTCTCCCACTGCCGAGGCCAACAGCAGCAGCTCCGTTATTAGCGCACTCAATAGCGGCACTGCAAGCATCGGCATGTCTGCTCGGAGTATGACTGTTGATGGGACGTCCTATCTGGAACAGGAGCGTACAGGAGGAAGGGGAGAGAGTGGGGAGGGAGGAGGGGGGGAGAGCAACCAGGATTACTCGCAGCGCGACTGGCAACAGGCATCTGACCGTCCATCTGAAACTGCAAAGTCAACGTTGCATCCCAGCCGCTCGTTGCCTGCTCTTGCTCCTTCCATTTTTACCATTGGCTCTTCCCCCCTTTCTGCCGCTCTTCCTCCTCCTCCTGCTGCTGCTGCTGCTGCTGGTGCTGCTGCTGCTGCTGCTGGTGCTGCTGCTGGTGCTGCTGCTGTTGGTGCTGCTGCTGAAGATGAGGATGCTGCCATGATACCAGAGCCAAACAGACGACACACCACCGGGAGTCAGCCCATGCTGCCAAGCAACCCTCCCTTAATCACCACCCCCGTACGCAGCAGCACTGGCGGCACACGCAGCAGCACCAGCGGTATCAGCAATTCCAGCAGCAGCAGAAACCCTAGCAGCAGCAATAACGACACCAGCAACTTTGGCAGCAGCAGCAGCAGCAGCAGCAGCAGCAGCAGCAGCAGCAGTTGTATTAACAGCAAGAAGGGCAGCAGCAGCAGCAATCGCGAGACCCTGTTTCAAAACGCAAGGAAGGGCAGTCAAAGGCTGAGTTTCGATGGGAGTGCGGTGGGTTCTGAGGTGGTGTTGGATGGGAGTGCGATGGCTGTTAAGATGGCTCGTAAGACAAGCATGGGTGGGCAAAAGCTGGGCGTGAGGGGGACTGGGAGGGCTTTTGAGGCACCTCAAAAGTCGTCAGAGGTGGGAATGGATGTGAGTGCGAAGGTCCCTAAGGTGCCTCGTACAACGAGCATGGGTGGGCAAGCGGTAGGGGCGAGTGAGAGGGGGAGGGGTTCTGAGATGTTTCGTACGACAAGTATGGGTGGGCAAGAGCTGGGTGTGAGTGGGCGTGGGGCCGGGAGGGGCGTAGGCGTTGGGATGAGTTTGGGTTTAGAGATACCCACAAGTTACTCTGATGCTGTTGTTTTGAAAAGTTTTATGGGAGATGCTTGTGGTGACATTGAAGAGCTTTCTATCGAGGATGAAAGGGGTGAGGAGGAAGGGAGTGAAATGGAGTTGGTGAGCCCGGATTCGAACTGGTTCAGTACCGAAGAAAGAAGGGAAGAGAGGAGGGAAGAGAGGAGGGGAGAGAGGAGGGGAGAGAGGAGGGAAGAGAGGGGGGAAGAGAGGAGGGGAGAGAGGAGGGGAGAGAGGAGGATGAGGAGGAGGAGGAAGAGGATGGGGAGGAGGATGAGGATGAGGAGGAGGAGGAGGAGGAGGAGGAGGAGGAGGAGGAGGAGGAGGAGGAGGAGGAGGAGGAGGAGGAGGAAGAGGATGGGGTGGAGGATGGGGAGAGTGAGGAGGAAGGGGAGGATGAGGAGGAGGATGGGGAGGAGGATGAGGGTGAGGAGGATGAGGAGGAATATGCTGATGGGGATGAGTTGACTCCAATGACCTCGCCTGTAGCAACTACTGTGGCCCTTTCCCGCTCTCCTGTGCTTAGTCAGAGGAAGAACGAAGAGGAGGAGGAGGAGGAGGAGGAGGAGGAGGAGGAGGAGGAGGAGGAGGAGGAGGAGGAGGAGGAGGAGGAGGAGGAGGAAGAGGTGGAGGAAGAGGAGGAAGACGAGGAGTTTACTGCAGCCCCTAGTCCTATGGCGCTGTCCCCCTCCTCATCATCATCCCCCTCTGGCTACCCTGTCTCCATGTCCCCACCACCTCGCTCCCCTAAAGTGTCCAGGTTCAACGCACCTGGACAGAAGAAGAGGGGCAAAAAGGGAGGCGGAGCAGAGGGGCCAGAGATGGGTGTAGGGTTTCCCATCCGAAGGGGAAAAACTGGGGCTTCTGGAGCTTCTGCTGCTAGTGTCTCAGGTGGTTTTTCAGGTGGTTTTTCACATGGTGGGGTTTCAGCAGGTGAGCCTTCAGGTGGTGGGACCGGTGGGAAGCCAAAGCACAGACAGTGCAAATCGTTTTCTGGCTTTGACTTTGGACAGACGCTTCTTGAGGATCGGCCGAAAGAGTCCAGGTTCAATGCACCTGGGCAGGAAGCGGGAGGGAGGACTGATGGTGGGGGGAATTCGGGGCGAAAGGGGGCAGTACAGCAAAAGGGGGAGGGAGTGCAGGCCAACAAAGCTCAGCGTGCCATCCCAAAGGCAAACACAGGGGGTTCTGTTGCTGCTGCTGCTGCTGCCGCCGCCGCCGCTGCTGCTGCTGCTCGGGCTTCAGGTGGTGGGAGTTTAGCAGGTAAAAGTTCAGGTGGGGGGGTCGCTGGTAGCCCCAGGCACAGGAAGTGCCAGTCGTTTTTTTATTCGACTCAGGAGTTGAATCATGAGCCGACTCAAAAGTCAGGTGGGGGGAATGTAGCAGGTGATAATTCAGGTGGGGCGGCTGCTAGTAGCCTCAGGCACAGGAAGTGCCAGTCGTTTTCCGGCGTTGACTTTGGCTTGATTGCACCTGGAGAGACGCTTCTTGAGGATCGGCCAAAAGAGTCCAGGTTCAATGTACCTGGGTGGGAAGCAGTAGGGAAGACTGGTGGTGGGGAGAAGACGGGGAAAAACAGGGCAGTACAGCAAAAGGGGGTAGTACTGAAGAAGGGGGCGGGACGAGAAGAGGGTGCGCGGACCAGCAAAGTACGGCTTACCATCCCGAAGGCAAACACTGGGGGTTCGCTGGCTGCTGCTTCTCCTACCGCCGCCGCCGCCTCTGCTGCTGCTGCTGCTTCTGCTGCCGCTGGTAGCCTCAGGCACAGGAAGTGCCAGTCGTTTTTTGATTCGACTCAGGAGTTGAATCTTGAGCCGACTCAAAATTCAGGTGGGGGGAATGTAGCAGGTGATAATTCAGGTGGGGGGACTGCTAGTAGCCTCAGGCACAGGAAGTGCCAGTCGTTTTCCAGCGTTGACTTTGGCTTGATTGCACCTGGGCAGGAAGCAGGAGGGAAGACTGGCGGCGGGGAGAATTCAGGGCGGAACAGGGCAGTGCAGCAAAAGGGGGCGGGACGAGAAGAGGGAGTGGGGGCCGGCAAAGCACGGCTTGCCATCCCGAAGGCAAACACTGGGGGTTCTGTGGCTGCTGCTTCTCCTACTGCCGCCGCTGCCGCCGCCGCCGCTGCTGCCGCCGCCGCTGCTGCTGCTGCTGCTTCTGCTGTTGCTGCCTCTTCTAGCCCCAAGCACAGGAAGTGCCAGTCGTTTTCCAGCTTTGACTTTGACTTGTTTTCACCTGGGCAGACGGGTTTCGAGGCACAGCCACAAGAGTCCAGGTTCATTGTACCTGGACAGAGGATGCCCAAGGTGCAACACAAAGAGGCCAGGTTCTACGCACCTGGACAGGAAGAGAGGAGGAGGACGGGTGGGGGGCCCAAGGATGGGTATGAAGGGGCAGTAGAGCAAAAGGGCACGGGACGAGACGTGGGAGGGAAGACTGGTGGTGGGGAGAACTTGGGGCGAAACAGGGCAATACAGCAAAAGGGCGTGGGACGAGACGTGGGAGCATGGGTCCAACAAGCACGGCTTGCCATCCCAAGGGGAAACACCGAGGATTTAGTAGCCACTCATACTGCTCATACGGCTGCTGCCGCTGCTGCTGCTGTTGCTGCTGCTGCTGTTGCTGCTGCTGTTAGTCGTGGTGGTGGTGGTAGGGTTTCAGGTGATGGGATTTCAGCAGGTGAAAATTCAGGTGGGAAGAGTACTGTTAGGCCAGGACACAGGCAATGCCTGTCGTTTTCTGGCTTTGAGTCTGACTTGGGTCAGTGGGATATGGCTATTGCGGCGCCTCAAACGTCTGTTTTTGAGTCTGACTTGGGTCGGTGGGATATGGGGAACGGCAGGGAGGGAGGGAGAGGAGCGGGGATAGCGAGCAGAGTAGAGAGTTTGACTGAGTGGGATATGGGGGACGGGAGGGAGGGAGGGAGAGGAGGGGATATAGCGAGCAGAGGGCGTAGAGAGGAGGGCTTGAGTGTGTGGGAAATAGAAGACGGGAGGGAGGGAGAGGAATGGGGATAGTGGGTAGAGTGGAGAGCTTATGTGAGTGGGATGTAGGGGACGGGAGGGAGGGAGGGAGAGGAGCGGGGATAGCGAGCATGGGGCATAGAGAGGAGAGCTTGAGTGTGTGGGAGAGGAGGAGTGGGCGGGAGAGAGGGGAGGGAGGTGGAGGAGGAGGGGAGGGAGGAAGTTTGTCACCTAGAGTAGTGTTGCTTGGTACCGAGGCGAAGGGAAGAGGAGGAGAGAGAGAGGCGGATGGAGGTGGGAGGAGGGGAGGGAGAGGAGGGGAAGGAGGAGAAGAGGGAGGGTTACTGACGTCACCGGCTGTGTTGTTTGCTTCTTCTGGGGTGAAAGGAGGAGAAGGAGAGAAAAATATGGATGGGGTAGGGAGAGGAGGAGATGGAGGTCCACGGGAGAAGGAGGGGGAAGGGAGAGGGCAAGAAGGGAAGGGAAGGAAGGGAGGAGAGGGTGATGGAGAGATGGCATGGATAGAAGAGATGAGGTGAGTGGCAGTAGGTGGCGGAGGCAGCAGCAGCAGAGGCACAGGCGTTGGTGGGGTTGGCACAGGCGTTGGTGGGGTTGGCACAGGCGTTGGTGGGGTTGGCACAGGCGTTGGTGGGGTTGGCACAGGCGTTGGTGGGGTTGGCACAGGCGTTGGTGGGGTTGGCACAGGCGTTGGTGGGGTTGGCACAGGCGTTGGTGGGGTTGGCACAGGCGTTGGTGGGGTTGGCACAGGCGTTGGTGGGAGGAGGAGAGGTGTGAGCATGGATATGGGCGCTGTTTGGAGTTTGGAAAGGGCTTTGGGAGGAGATAGCTTGAGTAAGGATGTGAGCCAGAGTGCGAGCAAAGATATGAGCCAGAGTGTGAGCAAGGATATGAGCAAGAGTGCGAGCAAGGATATGAGCCAGAGTGTGAGCAAGAGTGCGAGCAAGAGTGGGAGCAAGAGTGCGAGCAAGAGTGGGAGCAAGAGTGCGAGCGAGAGTGCGAGCAAGAGTGGGAGCAAGAGTGCAAGCAAGAGTGGGAGCAAGAGTGCGAGCAAGAGTGGGAGCAAGAGTGCGAGCAAGAGTGGGAGCAAGAGTGCGAGCAAGAGTGGGAGCAAGAGTGGGAGCAAGAGTGGGAGCAAGAGTGGGAGCAAGAGTGGGAGCAAGAGTGGGAGCAAGACAATGGGCAGGAGTATAAGCATCGGACCTGGAACCATTGCCTTATCTAACAGCCTCAGTGGCCGATCTTATTCCCTCAGTATCCAATCCCCAAGCGGTATCCATTCCCCCCCCATCGGTATCCATTCCCCTGCCAGTATCCATTCCCCTGCCAGTATCCATTCCCCTGCCAGTATCCATTCCCCTGCCAGTATCCATTCCCCTGCCAGTATCCATTCCCCTGCCAGTATCCGTTCCCCTGCCAGTATCCATTCCCCTGCCAGTATCCATTCCCCTGCCAGTATCCATTCCCCTGCCAGTATCCATTCCCCTGCCAGTATCCATTCCCCTGCCAGTATCCATTCCCCTGCCAGTATCCATTCCCCTGCCAGTATCCATTCCCCTGCCAGTATCCATTCCCCTGCCAGTATCCATTCCCCTGCCAGTATCCATTCTCCCACCGGTATTCATTCCCCCACCGATACGAAAC